TTTAGCACATATTTTGCCTGATGGGAATGAAAGACCTGTTATGTAGGTATGCATCTGCAACATTATCTGTATCTGAACAGAATTATAGCCAGCTCGATAAGGAAGGCCTTATCGATCATTTTTGGTGTTAAGAAGTTTCACAATTATTTATTTGGTCGACATTTTACATTATTTAATGACCATGCATAAGCCCTTAAAGAGCATTTTGTCACCACCAAGTGAGAATTTACCAGCTTTAGCAGCTGCTAGATCGCAGCGTTGGGCTGTCGCTTTATCAATTTACGATGACGCTATAAAATTGGTGAAACGGTTCACTATTTTTCTGTGGTTGATACGACACCATTGTCTTCTAAAGATATTGCACGGAAATCTATGAAAGATATAGTTTTGAGACAAGTGATGAATATTCTGATGCATATATGTTTGGCCAAATTTCAGTCAAATTGATGCAACACTTTCACCATACTACAAGATCCGTGAAGCTTTGATTCTCGATATGAATTGTTCAATTATTAATAATCGCGTCATTATTTCAACTCATTTAAGAGTAGGTATCTAAAGTATGTTTTTTTTTTTAAAGATAATTCCCCAAGTCAAAAATATAGTAACTATGTTGGCAACACAAGCCTTTTCTACATAAAAAATTTGAGAGATTGACAATTTTACATTGTATTGCCAACATAATGTCATTTTGACTTTTATGTTTAAAAAAAAAACAGATTTTATCTACATGTTTTGCAATTACTGCACCGAACAACATCCTGGAATTGTCAAAATGAAAATGTTGGCCAAATATAAAGGTGGGTTCGGCTTGCTCACTCCGTGCACTCCGAGTGACTCCATTCGCACTCCAGCCGTTCGAGTTAAGGTTCGGGTATTGCTTTTTACCGTATTAGGGGTGACTCCATTAGCTCTGTTAACTCCACTCCAACTCCGCGCTGAATAGCCGAACCCAGCTTAAATAGAGAGATTGAAAATTTGGTAAAAATGTTCGTGTGTTGTCAATTAATGGCAAGTAATGTATCAGATGCTCCTATGACATCATGGACATGGTGACCTAGGAAATGGCAACGGTTGCATTTAGATCTTGCTATGAAAAATGATGTAAAACTTCTTGTTTTGATTGATGCAAAGTAGTAAGTGGGTGGATGCATGGATTTTAATAACAACTACAGCCAGTGATATTATGTATTCATGTCTGAGTAAAACTTTTTCTATATTTGGTTTGTCAGATGAAATACATTCTGATAATGGTCCGCCCTCTATGATTCAGAGGAATTTGATTCATTTTGTAAAGCACATGGTATAGTATAATAGTTATAAAGTCACCACCAATACATCCAAAATCACTAGAGTCTAAGCCATCACATGTGGAGCAACTACGATTGTAGCCGAACGCCGAACCGAGCGCATTGAATTCGAAGAAAGGTGTAAATTCGGTACTGTAATACACTGTTCAAAAAAAAAAAATTGATATTTATCAAGAACTCGTTAAATTGGAAATCAAGAGGAACACAACAACAAATCTGCAAAATGAATGCGGTATTTTCTTCTCTTTCAGGACGTTGAAGATTAGATGCGGATTTTGCATTTTTTTTTTTTTTGTTGATATAAATTTCCTCTGTGGAGTTGATTGGCACCTTTTTCCGTTCATTTTTAAGTAAGCGGAGTAGTTCATTTTGTTTTCGTTTTCAAGTGGTCAATATGTACTGGGTTTATAGACAATAATACCTGTTCTACCACCACTTTCCACATTATTACCGTTCATTGAGATTGAATCGAATTTCTTTTGCAGATTTTTTCTGGATCATATGAAATATTTGAACGCGATACGCCGGCTGATACCTCTGACCTCTCTAGAAATATTAAAAAATAAGACAAAAATAAACTAAAAAAAGGACTTTACTTTTGTTTGTTTTTTTCTATACTACTATCCTAAATCCAAACTACAAAAAATTTGAAATTTTTACAAATAATTATTATCTTGGAAAATGGACTTGTAATTTTGTTTTGATGAAAATAAGAATGGTTAAAGAAACATAAAAATAACAATAAAATTCTGGTTCTCGATTTTCTATGTACCAGAGTTAGCTGTCGGCTATTATCGGGTTTGCTCCGGCTGTGACGGCTAGACTCTAGTTCCAAAATCTAACGGTATCGCTGAGAGAAGCATTCAAACTTTTAAGAATAATCTTATAAAACAGAAATTTTATGTTAATACGTCTAAGAAATCAAATCAAGAAAACTTAGATAATTTTTTGTTTTATTATAGAAACATTCCTCATATTTACTCAAATTTCACCTGCTGAGTTAATGTTGAAACAAAAACCGAAAAGTAGAATTTCGATGTTGAAACCTTCTTTCAATAGGTATGTTCAAGATAAGCAGACAAAATTTCTGGAAAGAAAAGATGACGACACTAGCGTGTCTAAATAGGTATATTACTTTTGAAGAGGGTGTGAAAGTTTATGTAAAAAACGTTAGGGGTGGACAAGGAAAGTGGAACTATGGTATTGTTAAAGTTAAAGTTAAAGTTAGTTCGGTAACATATATTGTTATGGTAGGAGAACATGCTAGATATGCGCATGTGGACCATTTACGAAAATGTCATATCATTAAAGAAACTGAAACTTCTCCAGAAACCCATATTCCAGTTTTATACAAACCAGAAAATGTTCCACCTGCAGACTCAAATTTAAATTTAAGCTCCAGTGTGTCAGAAGCTCCGAATATTTTCTTTCATTGCCAAACCCCCCGATTGTGACAATGCAAAACCCGAACTGTGACGAAAATAATAGTGATAAAAATCTAGAAACAATAATAATTGAGTCCTAAAAAAAAAATGTATTTCGCCTAATAAAGACAATAGTGAAATTGTATCCTTGCGAAGATCAAAACCGGTGATTAATAAGCCAGTTAGGTATTTAGAATAGAATTTTGATTTGTTAATACTATTTCTATTTTCCTTAGAGCCAAATTATGGACCGACTGGTAAGGTCTCTGGCAAGTTTACTCTGCTGGTAAAACCAAAAATTGAATGCAACTTCTAGGTTTACCAGCGGGATAAATTTACCAAAAACGTTACCAATCGATCGCCCTAAAGGCCAAATTATGGACTGACTGGTAAACGTCTGGTTGTTACCTAACAGATACAGGGTTATCCAACGAAAGTGCTTTCTACCTTATATACCTGTTAATTGGAGAGGTACAAAAAAATGTTAAATATAAAAGTTGTTGGGATTTTTATGAGGAATTAGGAGCATTTATTAAAAAAAAAAAAAAATGGAAAGACGGGTTTAGAAAATATAGCAACAAATTTAACATTTCTTGCTTAATTTAAATGGAATGACCCATTTTAGAATATGTTTTTGGATTCCACATTGAATTTGAGCCCTGATATTTGTTACATGTCCTATAGAAAAATTTAGCAATTTTGGAGATATCCCTAATCAATGATGTTTCAAAATAAATTTCGAAAAAAATGATATTTCGTCGTTGAAAGCTGGTAAGAGTGGTAAGTTCTCGTGTAGTCTTCTTATTACTACCTATTGTTTTTAATTATTATATCGAAAATGTGTCCAATATTAGATGAAATATGCAAAATTTTGCTTGAATCCAGCTTCACCTGGTTCCCTTTAACCAAGGGAAATTACGTGAAAGGTGAATCAGGTGAAGCTAGATTTAAGCAAAATTTTGCCTATTTCATCTAATATTGGACACATTTTCAATATATTGTTTATAAACAATAGTAATAAGCATAAGCAAGATTAGACGGAAACTTACCACTTTTACCAGCTTCCAACGATGAAATATAATTTTTTTCCTAATTTATATTGAAAAATCATGGATAAGTGATATCTCCAAAATTGCTGAATTTAATTATAGGACATGTAACATATACAAGGGCTCAAATTTAATGTAGAATCCAAAAACATATTCAAAAATGGGTAATTCCATTTAAATTAAGCAAGAAATGGTAAATTTTTTGCTGTATTTTCTAAACCCGCCTTTCCATTTTTTTTTTAATAAATGCTCCTAATTCCCCATAAAAATCTCAACAACTTTCATATTTGACAATTTTTTGTACCTCTTCAATTAACAGGTAGGTATACCAAGGTAAAAAGCACTTTCGTTGGATATTGGATAACCCTGTACTTTCTATGCACTAGAGAATAGAAAGTACCTGCTAGGTAACAACCAGACACTTACCAGTTGGTCCAAAATTTGGCCCTAAGGGGAAAGAAATGTTAGATATCAAACTAATTGGTGGGACGTCACCATAACAGGCAAAAAGATGACAACTGTGTTGTCAATATGATGACTTAGTTTAACTGGTAGTCATATTAAAAAAGGTAATTTAACGAACCCAAGAGTGTTTCATTGCCAAGACACAACAAACAGTTAATAGGACTGACATCAGAATCAATCGTCCTGTCTTGACACTATCCTAGATATAGGTGTTAATGAAAATCATCGCCAATAACTACCAAGGCTAGGTTTTTCCATGGTTTCAATACTTCTGATCATCTGTTTACCATAAAAGTTCTTATTTGAAAAAGCCAAAACGCGGTTGTACAAAGCTGGCGGTCTCTCATATATCTTCCATTTGAAAAAAAAATACGAAAATACCAGGGGATAGCTAACTTTACATTAACTTACGGATGTGACGTCACGCGGGTTTGATTAGCCGGCATAAATGTCATAATTTTTGACGAAAAAGATTTCACATTTTCCCGCGTTTTTAACAATGTCAGAAATGACAAGTGACACCTGACGGTTCTGTATTTTCATGTATTTTATACTCCAGCAGTCCTCATCAGTAAAGAATTTATTCCCACAATTTGAACCAGTAAACCCAACAACCGATAATAGAACATAAAAATGCTCTTACATTTCCCAATAAAAGTCTGTTCTCACAGCAATTAAGCGGGGAACCCCTGTTTTCTTATTTCTCTTTAAAAAATATTCTTTGAATAAGTTGTTCCTAACAAAAATCGAACTCACCATTTAATTCTCCTTCTTTTCAAAATCCTAGCCAGAAAGCTTTTTAGTTTAGTTCTTCTTTTGAAACATGGTTTTTCTCCACTTTCATTTTCATTTATGCTTGCCTCGCTAAAAAAAATGTCATTTTCTTTAGTATTATTTTTAACTTCCATATCTGCGTTTTCTTGGGCATTCTCCATTAAATCAACAACAGTTCCATCTGGTGGCTTCTCAATTAAACTTTCATTAGACAGTACGACGTCATTTTCGTTTCCATGGCCTTCTTCAGAAATTTTTTGATTGTCCAGATCAGCGTATGCATCAGTACCGCTTCTTTCAAAATTTGCCATTGAATTTCACAGCCTAGATTTTTTTTCTCACACTAGTTATCCACAGTCGCTACTGAAAACATAAAATGCTGTTCACATAAGACATTGAGGTTACTTTTCCTGATGTTAGGTATTGATCCAGTTTTAGGTCCAAGGCCTTTCCACTAAAATGCGATTTTTCAACTTGAGCGCCACTTGTCAATTCTTTTTTACACTTACTCAACTAAATTACAGAAATCTATAATCTACGTTTACTTAAATACAAATTACAAAAATCTTTTTTTTGTAATTTAGCCATCGGCCGATGGATGGCGCAAAGGACTATAGTTGACTTCGATACCGCTAAATGGCGCTGTTGGTGTTATGAAGACTTGAAAAAAAGAAAATGGAAAAAGGCAAAAAAGGAACAAGAGCACATTGATTTTGTAATAAAAATTTGTGGAAGCGAGTCTAGCGCCCGTAAAATTCTATTTTTGTATTATGTAACAAACGAGAAATCCGGGGATATTTTTAGAGGCTTTATATACCTCATATAGCAATTTTTAGCCAGGAGCTAATAAATCGAATAGGTACTTCAATAATTACATTTTTCTACAGGCTTGAAAACGTAATTAAAATTCGAAAAATGCCTATAATATTAGCAATTGTAATGGGATTTTTGGCTTTAGGGAGATAAACCACCCTCTGGATATCTATTTTATCCATATCGTCGTCAGATATTAAATTCCACCCCTGCTCCCAAAAAATTTAATATGTGGCCTATATTATGAGAGGGGTTGTAATAACCCCCAACTGAGCCTTCAGCTATTTTCCAAACAAGTTGTTAAATAAACTTTCTCGTTGTTATTATTAAACTTTTTGTTTACCAACCAATAAATACCTAGTTTCCCAAGCAAATTTCTTCAAATATTATGTTTGGAAATAAAAATATTATGTTTACTGAAAAAGGAAACATAAAATTTCCCGGACATTTTTAAATTAAAGCGTTGTAACTATTTTTCCATTGATATTTTTATTATCCAGCCATCAATAAGACGTGAGGGAATGAAATAAGGGTTTTCGAGTACTAGGACAATCAAAAATTTCACAACGTCACAGAAATAGCTTGAAGGAATTTCTAAATTGCTGCCAGGGGGGCTCATTAATTTCTTATGTGAGGAAATTGGCAATGACAAGTATTGAATATTTGCTACAGAAAATTTTTATGTCATTGGTTACATTTCATTTTTAAAAACACCCCGTGTACTAGATACTAATAATTGTAAAATGTTTATGGTCAAACCCACGGAAAAGTTATGTTTCTGAAACGCTATTAAAGCGAGGTTTTCTATTGTTATGTATAAAATTTACTGCCGATTATAATTGTACGATAAAAGCTGCAATAATTTCGTTTATTTTCACGTTATATAGCATTTTGATAGCTCTTTAATAGTTTTCGATGGCGTCACGATATCGAGTCTATACCGAAACTACATGACTCGAACTAATAATCAAGAATTAGGACTGCCATACTAATTTTATTTGGTTGCTTGGGATGTTCTGTAGACTCTAAAATATGTTTTAAAAGTATCTATATGTATATTTTATATTTCCTATAAAGTTTGTTTCGCCAGGGTTTGTACTTGCCACCAGCATTTGCCTTCCTTGTTTAACAAATAAAAATTGACTGAAACAAATCAATGACGTCAAAAACGTTCGTCGGTTCCTAACCAGACGTCATTCATTTTAATTTGTCAAAAAAATTGAATGTGTCATATGAATTAGTCTACGACAACCCTTTTTTTTCAAGTTTCAAGGTCAAGTATGAACCCTGGTGAAACGAACCTTAGGTATTTCCAAATTTTCAGGTACTACTCACGTCTCTTGTATTATTTGAACGTACCTATTTACAGCTATCTGATAGATAAATATTTTCCTTAGATTTAGGATCATAACTGTGTACTCATGTTATTTGACAATACAATATTTATATTAGAAAGATTGTTGAATGTGGCGATAGATGTTCAAGATTATTCGTGGTCGTTGTGGTGTGTTTGGTTGCATCATGGAAAAGTACCTATGCTACAAACATTCGAACATATAAAAGAATAAAAGATTATAAGAGCCGTATTCAACATTCAACATCCTCTTTTAAAATCCCTTTTGAATAAAATCATTTTTAACTTTAAAAACCCTACTTGAGAATGCGGATTTTTAAAAAACAGTTACTGAATACGTAAACCAATCTTGAAAAGAAACTGACAATTGGCTTTCAAAGAAAAATTGCCACATAAACACCATAATAAAAAGCTCGATCTACATAACGTTTCATTAATTTTACATTACTCCCGTTTCAGGTATAAGGGTGTTTCCCCCTCTTCTAGAGGCTTTTAACGTGCTCGTGAAAAATGCAGCAATTTCATTTCCCTATGATCTCCAGGGAGAATAATCTCTTGATTTGGATGTTCTCGAGCATCCCCTTCTCAAAATAGCACCGAAGGATTGATACATAAACTCGTAGGTATTTTGTTTTAGTTTTTTCGCTTTGTTAAAATAGGAATCTTCTGCCTTTTTATGCAACAGCTGCCTGTTTAGTCCAAACTACAGCAAAAAAACAACAATCATTGAAGTCGAAGGAAATGAAAGACTTCTCGAAACCGATTCGGATCATAAATTTTAATTAAACATCTAATATTTTACTGCAAATGAGAAACCATGAAGGATGATTTATGTTTAATAGAGTATAAAGGAGTAATATTTCTTCAAAGCGACTGGTAAAGCAAAGATAAACTTGGCGGGGAATAGTATTGGGTTATTGGTAAAGTGAAACTTTGGTGAAGGCAATTCTATTGATATTTATTATATTGTAAGATGAAAGTTGTACATCTGGACATATTGACGAAATATCATGGGCGTGAAGTTACCTTAGGAGGGGGGCGTTGTCGCGATGCGCTTTCGCCATGGTATACATGATCCATGCCTAAAATTCTAGAAAAGACTGCTTTATTCGGGCAAAAAGATTATCGCGTTTATTCTGGATTATACAAGAATGGATTACGGATATATAAAGGCCGGTATTAGTCGCTAGGTAGTTTTTAAGGTTGAGATTGACTATGTGTGATACGATTTAGATAGTTAATATTGTAAAGAGTTGTAAAGATTTAAGTTGTTTGAGTTAATTAGTGGAGTATGTAATTAGTGTCAGAGTGTGCAGTAACGTGGAATAAATGATCGTTGTGTTAATTGGACTTTGATTTTGGAATAAACGAACGAACCCAATATTTCTGTCACGCACCCCAGAGACGTGACATTGGTGTCGGAAGTGAGATTTAATTCGAGGACTGCAAAATGAAATCCGATTGCAGAATAGTCCGGACTACTGCAGACACTAGTGTATGAACACGAACTGAACACTGGGACAGTTAGTCAGTGCAAGACAGTGACAATCACAAAAAGAGACGTAACCGATCATGTAAATTACCCCGGAAGTGACTGTATACCCGATTTTGACTGTGATAGTGAATTTTCAAGTAAGCTCTAGAAAATTCTATTATTTGGAAATCAAGGAAGATATTGAATTTCTGACTTCGCCGACGCATTCGATACATCAATCGTCATTCAGAAAAAGATTTTCGAGGAATTTCGGGAAAATTCTAGAACATTTTATCTGGAAACCAAGGGAGATATTGAATTTGTGACTTCACCCATGTGATAGCTATATCGACCGACATTCTGAAAAGATATTTCAAGAAAATTCCAGAACATTCTATTCGAGAATAAAGCAAGTTATCCAATTTCTGACTCCACCGGCGTGTTTGGAACTTCAAGCAAAAACCAGGAAAGATATTTGAAGAAAGTTTGAGGCAAATTCTAGAACATACTGTACATGCCTATTGCGAGACAACAAGCAAAAATGGAAGAACAAAGAGTTGCGTAATATGTTGGAACTTCGAGAGACCAAACGACAACAAGAAAAACAAGACGAAGAGGCCAGACGACAAAAATAAAAACAAGAAGAAGAAGCTAGACGACAACAGAAAGAGGCTAAACGATAACAAGAAAAACAAGACGGAGAGGCTAGGCGACAAAAAAAGAAACAAGAAGAAGAAGCTAAACGACAAGAAAAACCAGACGAAGAGGTCAGGCGGCAAAAAGAAGAACAAGAAGAAGGAGCTAAACGACAACAAGGAAAACGAGACGAAGAGGCCAGGCGACAAAAAAAAACAGCAAGAAGACCTTGGACAACTACAGTAAATATTTCAAACCATACACGCATTTGTCGCTAACCTAGAACAAAAGATTACGGAAGTAAAAGCCGAAGTTAAAGACGATGTTCAAGAAGTTAAAAACGACATTCAGGAAGTAGAGACTGAGGTCAAAGTCAAGCACTTGAAGATAAGGTGAATAAATCAGAAATACAGTCCATCAGTCCAGTTAGTGTTGGGGCATTCTCCTAGTATGAAGATGAAACCACCAAATTTTGACGGCTCTACGTCCTGGACCATGTATATCTGACAATTTCAAGCTGTTGCAAATACTAACGAATGGAACGATAAAGAAAAAGCAAAAACACTGATAGTGGCGCTTGGAGGACCTATCTTAGATCTTCTTCAGTCCATTCCTTCAATCTATTAACAGAATTACCAGCATCTAAATCAGACATTAGAATTGCGCTTTCGAGACCATTACAGACAAGAAATATTTAGAACTCAAGCTAAATCAAGGATTCAAAAACCCGGCGATTCGAATCGGAAGTTGAAAGGCTGGTGAGTTTGGCGTTTCCTTCAGCTGGGGAAGACATGCAGGAATGGATGGCAGTATCTGTGTTCATTGATGGTCTCAGAGAGTCGAAGACCCTGAGAATGTCTAAGTTCAGACAAAGTAGCGAAGCCCTTGTCCGAGCATTGGAACTGAAAGCAATCTTTCGTGCCTCACGACCCAGAATACGAGCAGTGTCCATTGAAGACCCAAAGGATAAACATTCGTCAAAAGAGGTTGGTAGCTTTGAGAATTTTATGAGTAATTTCATGGAGAAAATTGAG